TTAGTATTTTATTAATTATTTCTCGCGGTGCCATTTATTTGTGCGTCACTGTTAAAAAGTGTCGTCACAATATATATATATAGTTGTTTTTAATAAAACCAAGTGGAAAATATTTGTCATAAGAAGTTGAAGATATGAGGTGTGTTTATGACCCAAGGGGTTGCAGCCCTTATTTTATATTTTGAAAAAACTATATTTTTTATGCTTTTTTTCTGCATAAAAACCGGGGTATGGGCTCAAAAAAATAAAGAAAAGCGTTTCCGTTAACTCCATCAAATATTTCAGTTGGGGTGTTTCAGGATTTTTCAAAGGGATAAAAACCACCCCTAAATTTTACCCCCGAAAATTGTTTTTTATCATATGTCAGATTCTAATTGATATTTTTTAATAAAACCAAGTGGAAAATATTTGTCATAAGAAGTTGAAGATATGAGGTGTGTTTATGACCCAAGGGGTTGCAGCCCTTATTTTATATTTTGAAAAAACTATATTTTTTATGCGTTTTTTCTTTATATAAACCAGGGAATGTACTTAGGGTATGTACTTAGGTGGTTTTTATACCTTTGAAAAATCCTGAAACACGTTCTAATTGATATTTTTTAATAAAACCAAGTGGATAATATTTGTCATAAGAAGTCGAAGATATGAGGTGTGTTTATGACCCAAGGGGTTGCAGCCCTTATTTTATATTTTGAAAAAACTATATTTTTTATGCTTTTTTTCTGCATAAAAACCGGGGTATGGGCTCGAAAAAATAAAGAAAAGCGTTTCCGTTAACTCTATCAAATATTTCAGTTGGCGTGTTTCAGGATTTTTCAAAGGTATAAAAACCACCTAAGTACATACCCTAAGTACATTCCCTGGTTTATATAAAGAAAAAACGCATAAAAAATATAGTTTTTTCAAAATATAAAATAAGGCTTGCAACCCCTTGGGTCCTAAACACACCTCATATCTTCGACTTCTTATGACAAATATTTTCCACTTGGTTTTATTAAAAAATATTAATTAGAAGTCGAGATATGATAAAAAAAACGATTTTCGGGGGTGAATTTCAGGAGTCGTTTTCGCCCCTTTAAAGTGGATGTCAGCACAAAAAAAAATACGTGTCTCTTATTTTGTCGAGTACTACAACATATCAAAAAATTATTGAAATCGGTGGGGTCGGGTTGGGGGGGTTTCCTTGTAAGTGAACTGTAATTTCACCATACTTCTTATAGAGTGCCAATGTTTAGGCTAGTGAATAACGCGTCAAGTCCTTCAACATGTAATCAACATTATCTCCGGCGAGATGGTCAACGGTTTTGGCAAGCCGAAAATATAGGGTTACTCGAAGACTAGATGAGGTGTTCGGCATGTGTCTTTGATGGTTAGGAGCAACCGACGAGTTGTTTATATCACCGCCGAGCTGAATAATGTTCTTGGAATGAACACACACAGACACACACACATTAATGAAGGGATAGACAATTAGAACCCTTGTCAATTTTAATGCACAAGTTTTCGCACCGCTTTTAATATTATTATTATACCTAAAATAGGTAATGATGAGGGGAGCTCATGCATTAGACATATAAAAGACCGCTCGTGATGTAGAGCAACCATTGACGTTCAAACCTCATCGAGTGTACTTTATTGTAAACGCTTTTGACGAGGGAAAAATGGATTCTGCAAAGTGCAAGAAATTGATTAAGGTTATGGAAGAAGCATATAAACTGCTCAAGAAAGAATCATTGATTGTGGAAATTACAAAGTGGACAAAGTTTGGTACTTAAAATATTCGACTTCTGAACCAAATTCTGAGGAACGTTGCGCTTACGAACGGGGAGAAAAACAAAATCCTGACAACCATTGGAATACTAAAATCGTTGAATGAAAAATTTAAACAGCACCTTCAAAAAAGGGGTGAAGGAACTGTGAGAGAGAGAAGAAGTGACAGAGTACGTTGGGATGACTTGGACTCAGCCTTCAAAAGGAGAATAAGAACGGGAGTGATAGCAAATTTGCGACACAAGGACTTGAAGCGTTTTATGGAAGATTTAAAAAAACTGTTCGCTGTTAGAGTAAAAAATGCGCTCCGAAAAGATGGAAATTTGAAAGTGAACGTCGTTTTGTCCTGTAAATTCGAGACTATGAAAGGCGGTGAGTTTATTGAGGACCTAATACGTTCTTTAATACGAAAAACGAAGTAATTCTATCATCCACGGAGATCAATGAGTGGTTCAATGTCAATGTATTGGAAAAATTATTAACTAAAATCGAAGACTTCCAAGAAAAAGAATCGGGCTGGTCGTTGTTGGAAATAATAAACTTGGCGGTAAATATCAACAGATATATACCGATACATGGTGGTCTGTCGACATTCATCGAGTTGCTGAAGAACGTACAGAACAAAAAGGCAGTGGTGAATATTTTAAATAACGATCCGTATTGTTTTCTCTGGTCCGTTACGGCAGCTCTTCATCCAGCTAAACAAAATGTACAAAGCATCAGTTCGTATTCACATTTCAGCTCAATACTAAAGTACGAAGGTATAAATTTTCCTATTGGCTTGAAGGACATTCCAAAATTCGAAGCAATTAATGATTTAGTGATTAACGTTTACGGTATAGAACGCGATGCGAATAAGGGTGGTAATGAGATAGTACCACTTTATTTAAGCCAACACAGATCAAATAAATCTCCAATTCATCTTCTGATGGTGGAAA